TACATAAGAAAAGCTAAGTCCATATGTAAAAAGACAAAAGGCAGACCTGACTAAACCAAAAACAAACTGTCGCCCTGCAAAAACAAAACACCATAATCAAAATCACAATGCAAGCAAGAAACTGGAAAAAATTTAATAATAATTATAGAGACAAAGGATTAAGATCCCTAATATTAAAATTTGTTTTTCATATTAAGGGGAGAAAAAGAGACCAGGCATCCTGGAAAAATGAACAAAATACATGAACAAGCAATTTACCAAAAAATGGATGTAAAAGTGGCCCCCACACTTATTTTTACAAGTTCAGCTTCATTTATCCTAAGAGAAATAAAAACAAATTACACTGAGATACGATACCATTTCTTATCCACCAGTTTGGCAGTCAAAAGTTAGTTAGACAATATCTTTCGCTTGTGAGGCTGAGAACAGGCAGCCTCACACATTGCTGGTGAGAAGGAAAAAGGCACAGCCCTATGGAAAGGAACTTCGCAACATTCAAAATAACTCCATGAACATTTCTTTTCTTATCAACAGTCACACTTCTAGGATTTACTCTGAGATGGCACTTCTGAAAATTTGAAAATACCAAGGTTAGTACTGCAGTATCATCTGCCATCCACTGTAAATACTGGAACTACTGAAGTGCATAAAACATAGGAACGGTAAAAGGAACTATGGTATTTAGACTCGACGAGAGTACTGTGAGGCTATGAAAAACGAAGAGCTCTACAAGATGATCTGAAGTCATTTGCAGGACATCATGTTCAGACAGAAAAGAATATGTAGCATCAAACCCATGTAAGGACAAAGAGGAAATAAAACGATACATAAATCTGCTTATTTTGGCAAAAAGAAATGCAGAAAAAGGACACCCCAAAGTGAAACAGTACTGGGTCACCTGTACTGGGTGAAGTAGGAGGGGTGAAAAGGATGGGGAGAGGTGAGTGCACATTTGAGCGGTTTAGATTTTAGGAAGCTGCCAACATTCTGCGTTGTCAAAGAATAAAATTGAATTCTGGGCTGAGGGAACAACACACTATGTAAGGAAATTAACTGGGACAACGAACAAAACTGGAAAATGGGCAATAGATTAATAGCACCGTGGTCATGGAAGAGGATATCCCTGTTCCTCCAAAATGCACACTGAAACACTGAAGAGGAAAAAACATGCCATTGCAATCAACTCTCAAAAGGTTGAAAAATAAATTACACACAATTGTGCTCATGTTTGGTATGAATTTCTACAGATGCACACAGGCCCTGTGTATATATGCAGATAATTGTTTAAGTGGCAAAACATCTAAAAAATGCTAAGTGCAAATAAAGGATAAAAAGTTCTCCATTACTCTTGCACATTTCTGTAAAATTGATACTATTTCAGAATTTAAACTTTTAAAACCATAACCTGAACATGAAGCACTACCAAAAAACTGAGCCCTCAATATTGGGAGGATGATCACCGAAGACTTCCACGTGTACCTGATACGTTTATTTCCTTATTTAGTTCATGATTTACTTATGATAAAACGTTTTGATGAACATAAAATAGATAACTTCATTCCACACGACGATGGAAAGACCAGCAGAACCTGGTTGTGCCTTTCACCCTACTAAGCAATGGCTCTCTTCCTCTAGCAAAATTTGCTCCAAGTCAGAAACACCACGTGGTCAGTTCAAACTCACTAACAGGCAGACAGGAGTTATATTTGTAAGCTGGAAGCGCAGAGAATTCTGATTTTTACATAAGCTAGAACAAACATAAGGCACTTGAAGTTAAAAGGCAAAGTGGTCAAGGATTGCTGTGCATGATCTTGGGTGTCGGCACGTGACCAGCGTGACCGCCCACGGCTCTCAGAGGTGAGCGAAGTCGGCGTGGGTGACAGCCACCGTCCACTACGCCTCGCTCACTACCAGCTGTAACAATGTGCAGGGACCACCCCAGAGCCCTGCAGAAGTCGCATCGCCACTTTCAATGTCAAGGCACCACAGATGAAATCTCTTCGATTTGACCCAAACTGAGCAATAACATTTAAGACTCACAATGGAAAGCAGGGCAGGCATCCTTCAAAACAGGCAATGATGGTTTAGTTACAAGTTTGACAGAGCTTATGTGGGAACATTAGGATGTCAAGGTAAGAGCCAGGGAGAACACCTACCTTGACATGGGGGCTAAAACATGCGGTCACACAAACATGCACCTAACTGTTGACAGGCTGTGTCTGGGGAGAGGATGACAGGTCGCATAAACACAACATATTTCTGGTGCGTATTTCAGTGTCTCAGTTTTGAAGAATAAACATGCATTACTTTTACAATGTACAAAGCTGAACTCAGATCCAGTAATCTGACATCATAAAGATATAAAAATGTACATGGCAACAGCAAGCTATATAAACAAGCTTTTCAGATCAAACTAAAATTCTAGTATTTTCAGACCTAATAAACATGAAGGTCAAAGTATTTTAAAAACTAGATAAGCAAATATGAAATGCGAACGTTTTCCACTAAAGAGTATGGAAACTCTTTGGACTCAAAGAAACAAATCTTTATTATATAAAACTTTTATAATTGTATAGCAGGTACAAAAAAAGACATCAGGTTACTTTAGAAGACAGTTGCTATTAAATTTTGTACACTTAAAAATTTTTTTTTACATTGGGAGACTTGTTTACTCAATTCGTCTAATAAAGGATTCTTCTATGAAAATGTAAAATAATTTTTCTCCTTGAACTTTTATATGCAGAATTTATCACACCAGCAATTTCCACAGTAAAGGCTGAACCAGTTGAAACACACACGGGAAGCCATTTACGTGACTAGAAGGCTGATTATGGACTCATTACTGGGAAGGTCCTGCATCTGTGGCAACTACGCTAACTTCTTGATTTTGGATGTGCAGCTGCATCATCCTACCCGCATCCAATGGCAGAAGCACCACCTGTGACAAAAGTCAGAGCTTCTAAATTACAGAAGTTAGAGTTGGTTGCCCGGAGAGGAGAAAAATTTGGTGGGCTTCTGGGGCCCCATGGTGTTTATTTCTTGATCTGTATGGCCATTCTGCAAGTGCACACTTTGTCATTATTTGTCAAGCTGTATAGCTTTTCTGTATTTATCTATTTATTTAATTAATTAATTTATTTTTTTGGATTTGGAGTTTCACTCTGTCGCCCATCCTGGAGTACAGTGGCCTCTCCCGGCCACCGCAGCCTCAACCTGCTGGGCTCTGGCGATCCTTCCGCCTCAGCCTTCCACTACCACGCCCGGCTGATTTTTTGATTTATTGTAGAGATGAGGCCTCACCAAGTTGCCCAGGCGGGTCTCGAACCCGCAGGCTTAGGCAATCCATTCACCTCAGCCTCCCAAAGCGCGGGATTACAGGCTGAGCCACCGAGCCCAGCTGGCTTTTCTGTATTTAACATACCTCACAATTTAAAAAGTTGAGGGAAAAAAGGTTTATATGCACCCATATAAATGCCTGAGTTTCCTAAGTATCAGTTCTATTTCCCAGAGCTACAATGCACTCTTAACCTGGTAAAAGCACTATTGTATTTATAATTGGAAACCAAACACAAGAAAGGTGGGCAACCGAAGGATTCCCTACGTGTCTCCCTCTCAATGGTCTAATCCTGCTCCGCCGGTCTCCAAGAGCAAATGCCACTGCTCTGGAATCATCTGAAAGACCGCCACATGCCTATACCAAGAAGCCTGAAAACCGTCAAAAAACAACAAAAAATCTCAGCAAATTTTGCTGCATCAATATAGAATATCAAGGACATATAGCACACTTAACTACGCAAGAATCTCATTTACCGGTTTTTGGGGCTTGATACACACCATGCACAGAAGGGCCTGACTGAGCTGGAGACCGCCCTCCGTCTGCAGCTGACCACATCACACTCAGGACCTCACAAACCCCACAAAGCCTCATTCCTTTCTCCCAGGAACCTGTCAGGACACTCTGGTACCATGCCTCACCGTTACCCTCACCCAGGCCATCTGACTGGCGGTCTGAGCTGGCATGCCCCGGCAGCGGTGCGCAGCACGGCATCGCCCAGGGATGTTCATGTTCCCTCTTCCATCCATGACAGCAATGTTCACCCCTGATTTGACCTCTGCTTTGTTCAAAGACCAGGAATATTCGCTTTAAAGTGCAATAACTATGTGGGTGGCTCTGCCTGAGAACTTTTCACAGGACAAGTGCCCCCTGCCAAAACCAGCTCTATGCTAAAGTGAGGCAGAGACGACACTTTTTTGAACGCTATATTACGATGTTTGACTTAGGCCATTTCATAGGGTGCTACAATACAGAGGCAGCCACTAATCGAATGTCTGTCTCTTACAGCTGGGCACATTCCAGGTATGACTATTCTGAAGGTCATAAATATTATTCAGTCAAGTATTTGTTTCTGCCTATGAAGAAATGTCAGGCTACTTACTGTCAGAATCTGTATCTTCTTTAAGGAGTTCTTGAATAAAGCTGTCCCAAAAGACTGAAAGAAGGAATACCCACAGGGGTCCTTTTATATTGTGTTAAAGAGGAGAACAGAATTATTTAACTCAAATCTGAAGAGGTCAAATTCTTACTTCCTCCTTTAAACAGGCAAGAAAATATACACACAAATAATGAGATTTCAATTGCCCATTGAGAAGTGTTTCATAAGAGCCAAAGTTAAAATAAAATATTATTAATGAAAAATCTTGGCATCAATATTCCACATTAGTTATGTTTCAATATTGTAATATAACCACAAGGTTCAACTGACCACTCTACCTAAAAAAGCTCTTCAATATTTTCAAGAAAATACAGTTTAAAAGATTGTTTAAACCCTTTCTTCCTAGAAACAGGCACTTGTGTGTGCACAAGAGGGGGGGAGGGGAGAAGGAGAGAAGAGGGAGGGGAAAGGGAGGGAGAGAACCACTGACAACAGAGAACAAGAGAGAAAATTACTACTGTTGATGTCTTTGAAATCTTTGCTACAAAATGAAAAGAAACCTAGCAATTCTCACAGGAAGTTCTACTTTTTAATAAAAATTAGTATCTATTCAAATGATCCAGTACTTATCATTCCAAGTCTCACAATGAGCATCAGGAAGAAAGCACACACCGAGCAACAAGCTGTGAGCACAGGCACAGTCGCACACAGGTTGTTTTACATATTCAGCACATCCAGAGCCTCTAGGAAATTATTAAAAGTGCAAGCAGGCCACGCTTTATAAGCCCTTTCTCCCAACTTCGGCTGAATGCGACCACATCAAGGGAATGACACAGGCGAGAGGAGTTCCAGGCTGAGTGAGCTACTGAGAGCTACAGACAGTGCCAGTGACCCTCGTCTGGGTGACAGAGCCAGACCCTTTCTCTGAAAAACAAAATACAACCAATGTAATGACACAGTTTTTATCGTGAAGCAGAAATGGACAATGGCAACTAATTTGATGTTCACTCAAGAATGAAACAAAGCTCTCACTGTAACAACCAGCCTGAACAGTAAGGAGAGCCAGCGTCCTGAGCTGGGCCGTTTCCTAAAACATGGAATCGTGTTCAAGAAGTGACACTTAAAGATACACTCTTATACATTTGTTTCTCCATGAAGTCTTTTTCAACTTCTTCAATTAACAATAATACTTCAAAAATCTTCAACTGGACATTCTTTGCTTTCAATGTTTTGACTTTTCCTGTATCTTGAAAATGTCCATTCAATACATTATCTTCTGTTTCTACTGAAAGAACTAATGTTCATAAAAGGATCATCGTCGTCATCCTGAAACGAGACACGAATCAGTGACTGCTCCATACTTCACTGAAACAAGTTCTGTGGGCAAAACAGTGTCAGCGCAAGTCAGTTTCTTTCACATAGGTACATGTCATTTTTCTAGTTCCTTCATAAACGGGAAATAAATTCTTGGCGAGTTTTAAAAATAAAAATATATCCTGCTATATACATGCATGCATACACACCTACAATATATGTGCCATATACATTTCCCTCATTAACCTTAACAAAGGCAAATTAAGTGCTTATGGGTAAGCCAGGAAAAAATATTCTTCAAGTCATTTACATTTGGTTTTTGAATAGTTTTTTCATTTACTTGGTTTTGGGATAGGTTTTTAAATTTACATTTTATTACAAATGTATCTGCTGTTCTGAAAATCTACAACCAAAAAAAAAAAGGCGCCGCATGGAAAAGATCTAACTCTGAAACAGCTGTAATTCTTACTTCCATTACCTACTTAAGACTAGAAACAGACAGTCTCAGACTAATGCCGAAAACAATCCAGCAACACAGTCTCTGAAGCAGCATTTTTGAAAAAGTAACAGATGAAGTGCTTCAGAGTTACCAAGCTGCTGATTCTATGCAAGAATAAACGGGAAGATAGGAGACTGGCTAAGAGTGTAATTAAACAGCATGAAAGCAACTAGCAAACCACATAAGCCCAAATTATGTAATTTGATGAGAATAATATAAAATGTATTGAAAGTAACATAAGATCTCATGTATTCTACAACTAAGTATTCAGAGGACAAAGCAAGTCTGCAAATTTTTGATTTATGTTTCTTTTAAGACGTTAATAAAAGAAATAATCACTTGATGTTAGGCTTTGTTTAGCGAAGTCTTCTCTCTGGTGAGAAACAAATGCCTTACGAAATACAAATTGTCACTTTCACTTACGGATTCATTTTCTGCTACCAAAGGCAGAATTTTAATAAAGCGGCAATAAATCCAAACTAACATGGACTGGTATACAGATGCTTAACTGCAACCTTCATCACCACATGCATGCCCCGTGCTTTGGAATAAACCAACGAGTCAACAGCTGCTCCCTTCCCCCAGGAAGCAACGTGACAGCATTTAACAGGCAGCCTGAGCTCTTGTGTGACCGTGCCTGCAGCCGGAGCTGTGGTGTGCCCTCTAACGTTCCTTGTTACCACAGTCAAGCTACGGAGAACACAACAGCAGCAGTTGGAGCTCACGGTGAAGGGGAGGACACACGCTACATGGATGGACCTCGAGGACGTCATGCGACGTGAACTAAGCCCGTCACAAAAGACAGGCATGCGTGACTCCACTTACAGTCAAAACCCAGGATGGTCAAGGCCACGGGAACAGGAAGAGGAGCATGGCTATCAGGGGAGGGGAGACGGGGACCTGGCACTTGAGGGACTCAGGTCTCCCGTTCCGCAGGACATACTTAGCACCACCAAACCGGGCGTGGAAGCGTGGTTAAGACTGGTTAAGATGGCAAGCTTTATGTTGTGGGTTTTTACCACAATCAAACATCCTTTAAAATAAAAAATAGGGCGACTCCCTCGGGTCACATCCCACAGTGGGAGCTTTTCTGTCCTCTCAATAAATCCTGCTCTAAAAAAACAAAATTAAATTAAAATAAATGAAAGGGGTGACCTCCTCAAGCAGTTAATTCAACAAAAGAACAAGGGCCCGCCAGTGAAACGAACGGATGGGAGGCGAGGGCCAGTGTCCTGCAGAGACGCAGCTTTAACTCCACTTAGTCGACGCAGCAGATCGAACCGTCAGGTCCTGACCATGCCGCTTCCTACTCCTCCTCGTTGGAGCCAGAGTAGACGTCACAGTTGTCTGGCTAGACAAGCAGCTGGAAGTGGGGCTTCTTCCACGCACCCTGTGGACGCCATTTCAGCCAGTGCCCAAGCACCTCCGTGACAGGAATGACCACCATGTGCCACGAAGCGCACACAGTGAGTACTGCATCATCTTCCACAAAGGTGCAGGAAAAGCTCTTGGGATATCATCACCATTTCTCCAAAAATCAATAAATGGCAGAAGTTAAAAAAATTCTGACCTTGCTTTTAACTGAACACCTTAAGTAAGAGCTGAATAAAGATTACATTTTTAAAAAGCAGCCTTGTAGAGCTGAGGTAATTACATAGATGGGCACTCAACAGACGTTACTTTGTTGCTTGCTGACTCCTAACATTATAGTTCGATAAGTAAGGTTATCCATGAAACCACTTAAAAAACAAGTTTTGGCAACTTGCTAGCCATCCCTATTTAAATTTTATACAGTTAGAAACGAATTACAAGGTGGCAATCCTATATTATTACCTCATCTGATTCAAAATGGACCCCCTTGGCTCTCTGGCTCTGAGTCGTGCGTGTGCTGGATGATGTGCTTGGCCACCTGAGGCAAAAACAAAGAAAAAACCCAGACAATGAATGGCAGAATCCACCGAGTGCACCGTTCTAGCTAAGTTTTTCCATCTAGCAGCAGCTATGAATACAAATAACACACAATTCTCTTCAATACATTAGAGGCAATAAATACTTAGTGGTGAGGAAAAGGACCCTGGGGCCAAGGTGTGAATTCCAGTTTGCCGTGTACTAGCTATGTGGCTTGGGACAAGTTGCGTAACTTCTCTGTGTGCCCCAATTTCCTCATCTGTGAGAAGAGAATCGTTTTCTTAAACATCAAAAGTGTTAGTATGCTTAAACACTTAGAGCAGTACCTAACACACATTAAGTGCCACACATATGCTGACTTAAGCAATTACAGTTCTTACCATATATTCATGTATCTACTACCATCTCCCATTTCTGAAAATTGTGAGAACACTGACATATTTTCTGTTCAAATCTCATTTAACAAGAAAATCATGATTCCTACTCTTCTAAAGCTTAACTTGCAGTAAATTCCTACGTCTTTTCATCAGTTAGAACTTAAAGTCATCTTCGACCGGGGTAAGTTTTAGCCAGTGGACTAAATCCCGCATGCCACCTACATCCTGTGAGCTAGGAATGGGCTTTACATTTTGAAATGGTTCCAATTTTAATAGTTATACAAGTATCTACCTAGTAATATCCTCAACTTTGCCTCCTGGCTTGCGGAGACTAAACTATTTACCATCTGGCCCTTTAAGAAAAAGTTAGATGACCCCTGCCTTAAATAAAAGCAGTGTTTGTGAAATCTTAGCCTACGACTTTATTGACATGTTTTGGGATGTCATTACGGCAAAAGAAATATGTCCAATGGTCTATTCTGGGCACATAAGATGAAAATCAGGGAATCCCGTGACCAAAGCAAACCAGAATCCACAGGTCCCTCCACATGAAGGGACAGGAGAAGCTGCCAGGCAAACCCAAAGAGCTAAGGTGGGAGAGGAGGATCAGCAGCTTATCAAGGCCCACCCTGGGAGGGGCAGAACGGATGCCCGCAATTATAAACGAAATGCCACACGTGCCTATGGTGAAGCATTCCTCAAAACAGTTGTCATTCAAGCTCTAAATATCAACCTCCCATATGACCCTGCAATCCCCCTAATGGGAATATACCCTGAAGAACTCAAATCACTCTATCAAAAAGATACCTGCACATGAATGTTTACTGCA